CTAAGCCAAAAAAAAATATATTACATTTTTGGAAATAGATGATTTATTGGCTTCACTGAAGTCTTGCATACTAATATAAGAATAAATGGTCAAATTTTGGAGTAAAAGGCTTCAGAATGATATCAAACATCGTGTTCGGACGTATTTTCGTTTTATTATATTGGCTATGAAGGTGACAACCTTCAGGGCATTAAGCTTTACACGAAATGGTTGCTACTCCTGGTAGAGGGGGTAGCGTTGTGTTTTAATTGAACTAGTTGTTCACTTCTAAAAGAAAAGTCCCCGCAACAAGATGTATAATAAATAACCAATAAATATATCTTCTTTCATTAAAACTTAGTAATAAATCAGTGATTGTAATTAGAACTGCAACAAATACATAATATACAAACAAATCAGTGTTTAATACAATCCTCAGCTACAAGGGTTGAATTATAACCCAATAACCTGAATTATCGACGGGGTGTTTTAATAAATTCTATAACTACGTGAAATAATTACACATCGAGAAAACAAAAAAATGAGCAAATCGGATTTTGTTGCAAAAACAACTTCTTCGGGAAATATGTTTTTGGGTACAAATGTTGCCTCCAACATGGTCAATTTAAGACTATTAAAATTACCTTTTTATAACCACATCTATTTATTTGATCAATTTTAACACTTCGACATATACAATATGCATATTTTACTATCAATCTTTATCTATAAGACTAATTAGATATCTAAATGAGTTTTCAAACTGATGAGAAAGGCATTGATACATATTCAACCTTTTAGAAATATAAAAGTGGTCTTTAGATATCATTTCAAAATTTTATTTTAGGTGCCGTTGAAATATTAGTAACAATTTTATTTGCTGACAGCATAATAATAAGTAATGAGAATATTTTGTCTATATTTATGAGTATAATATATATTATTGTATGTTTTTTTTTGTAAAACATACTGATATGTAGATAAATCTAAAGCCTAATCACACATTTGGCAAAAGTACAAATAAACAATTAAAATGAAAATAGCAAGGCATTTTACTATAAAATATTAAGAACTCTTTAATAAAATAAATTATTTTAAAATGAATGTGTGAGAAGGCCTAATATTATAAAATAGATTTATGAAACATAATTAAATAAAAATGCTACAAGTAATTTTTATAGTTTCAAAAACTATTTGGCTTTTTATATTAGAATCAATAATGAAATTGCTAAGAATCTTGCATATATATTTGTTTAAAATATTTTAACAAATAATATGTTGATTTTCAGTTAATAATTTTTTGTCAAGGCGGATAAGGTAATTTGCAATTACATAAAACTAAATTAGTTTAAAGTTCATGGATTTTTTTTTAAAATGCTAAAGGTTTCTAGCTTCTTCAAGAGGATTTATAGGTTATTTTTTAATACACATGCAAGATTCAAAAATCTATAACTCCAGCAGCAAAATATATTTGTATGCTTTTGTAAAATATAATATATAATATTTTTGTTTAAATTTAATATTTATATATCTTATGTATATATTAATTAGACATGGAAGACGAATTTCAACTCTTAATTACATATTTTTCTTTGCGCCTGTGCACTCAGCATATATTATAACAATTATTATATGAAATATTTTTAATATTTTTTTAATATGATAGAATTATGTAACTCTCTGTACATTAATGAATACACTACATTGAAAATTTGAATATTAAAATATTATAAACACTATAGCAGTAATTAGAAATAATTAAAATGCTTTTTGAGGCAGTTAGACAAGCTATGTACAAAATTTTGCAATGCTTAAAACACAGAATTTATATTTAAGAATATAAGTTTATATTTTAATTATGTTACATTTATTATTTATAGTTATCAGAGAGTATACTTGCACATTTTTAATCATTAGGTATTAATTAAATAAAAGAAACAACATTTTTGGATATAGAAAAGCAACTAGAAAGGTTATCATCAGGTTTTTTTTGTTGAAAAAATTGTTTAGTAACTAATATATTGAATAATTTGATAAGAACAAATGGTATCAAATGAATGGATTATTTATTGTTTTGTAAACAATTTGTTTTAGAAGTTTCAAAATTACCTTTTGATAGAAAATCCAAAGTTGCTCCACGAATAGCTTAATATTTGTAGTGAAATATGATAGCCTGATATTAAAGACAAAATTACTGTAAGGACATTCAGAATAGGATAATGTTTAGGCTCAATATTAAAGAACATACTTCTTGGAAACTAAACGATGTAAAAAAAATTCTAGTCCAAATCAACTCTTATCCTTCCAAAGATATTTTCACGTTTAAAAAAAGTAATTGGTACTTACAGTTTACTCCATGGTATCATACTGAACCTTTTTAACTTTCATATATCTAAAAACCCCATATCCCGTCACAGTACACAAAACAGCAATCGCCAACGTCGATCCTACCGCAATTGGGGCCGTTTCTGACCGCACACTGCCGCCCAAGGTGCAACCAAAAGGGGGCCCAAAATTATTATCCGCTTTGTACATAAAAGCTTGCAAACGAAAATCTCTCAAATAAACTTTGGCGCTTTGGGTAGTATCTATGTTTTCATCGTAATTTGTCAGATCTACTGCAGTCTCCGAATCACATTTAAATGACTTGCCAACAGGGGTGGGAAATAGAAGGGTTGACCTTCCAGGTGGGGTGCTCAGGTCCAGGTCGACACGAGGTTTGTCGACATGTTCGAATAATTTGTTAGATGTGGAGTATGATAAGTCGACTTTGTTGACGTACCATCTTTCTCCACCGGGCGTCTAGGAGAGAAATTGGAAATAGAAATATTTACAGGACTACTAAACCATGCATTTTTTAAATTCACATTGAACATTACAAAATAAAATTATTGAATACATTCAGGATTTACTGGAAATTAAAACGACACTTTCACTGAGAAGAAGCGAAGAAGGATTTGAACCTGAAGTATAAATGGAAAGATAATTTAGAGGACTACTAAGACATGCATTTCTCAAATTTAGAGTGAGCAATATGGGAAGAAAATACAGGAAATAAAGTAGGAATTATGCCTAGAATACAAATGTAGAAGAAATTTTTGCAGGATTTCTAAGGTATGCATTTCCTGAATCCATATATATTGAATAGCCTGAGGTAAAATCACATATGATGTGTTCACTATTAAATCAAGATAATGTCTCTATTTTATAAACGTTGATGCTAAAGCAATATCCAGCAAATAATCTTTACTAAAGACACGTTTCTGATTTTCAATCAAATTTATGCTTTGCTTATTAAATTTATCACAAAATAATAATGGTCTTTTATTTTGGATCTCTTATTTTTTGGTAAAAGAATAGTAAGTTAAGTGGATACTACTAGAGTAGAAGCAGATTTTTTGATATTTGGTATCTGAAATTACAATTTATAGAGAATTTGAAATTTTGTTTTAAAAATACTTTTGATTATTTAACACCCACACTTTCATACAGACTATTTTGTTGGGTGTAACTTTGTTTTATAATAGCAAGTTAGGAAGGATGTGCTATTATAGAGAAGTTTTCATATTTTTTTGGTGTCTGAGATTAAGGTTTTTGCGAACAATAATTCAGGGCTAGAATTCATGAAAAATTTAAAAAATATTCTAGAATCTTCCATCATTTTAAACAGATAGTTATGCTACATTTTTACCAAAACAGTCCATTTATATAAGGGTTATTATGAAGTTTATTATTAAACCCATGAAAAATCGGCCATGTTATCAATATTTTATTAAAATAATGAATGTTCCTACCTTTGCAAATCCAAATGCCAAATTAAATCCTTTCCACGATATTGTCATGGATGCAGTATCTTCATACTTGCAGTCACCAGTTACTTTTGCATTATCAGGCACAAAACTGTCGGCCTCCTGTAAATTTAAACAAATGATTTAGTGATATCTCTTAAAATTACTATAAAACAAAGTTCTTACTTTGTCTTCTCCCAATTTATCTCTATACTGGATGCTTATTAAAGCATCTGTTTTCATTAAAATACAAGTGATACCATTTGAATTATTAACTCTGTACAAGGATGTGGTGGATGGTGTCGGTGGAGGCCTATATTCTTCCTGAAAAATAATAAGTATTAATTGAACAATCCATCCAAACAATGTTTAAATTATATATTATATATATATATATATATATATATATATTATACTAACTCCTTGGGAATTTGTGTCCAGCACTGAGGAAGGTGTGGATTTTTGGTATTTAGTTGTCCTAGGTTTTTTTGTTGAAAGTCCTTCTAGTTGAAGACTACAAATCACATTTACTAAATGTGCTGAAAACGAAATGGTAAATGAGAATTTATTTATTTTGCAATAGCAAAAATAATAAAATTAAAATTACAAATGGAATGAAATAGTAAATATGAATATATTGTATTTCCAAGTAGTGATGTTTTGGATAGAAAAATGGTAAGTTAAAAATGGTGATTGTAGATTATGTTACACAGATTCGAATTATGAATTATATTAAGGTAAATGGTTAACGTTACAATGAAATGCAATAAAAATAGAGAATATAAGGTTTTAATGTACAAAATATACGCCTATTTGTATGAAATAACCAATGGTAAGAAATGTGATGTATTCGTGGTCACTGAAATAGGCGTATTATTTTATTTATTATGGTTTTAAGACATTCGTATTTACCTATTAGAACAGCTTTTATTAACAATGCTAAATTACACATCTTGAATTTTTTTAAATAATTTTATTTCTTACGCAGTATATGACATAATATTCTAAGGTCGTAAGCACAATATTTGATACATTCGGATTCGGCGCCGTAGCTCAAATCGATATGTATATATTTTGGATGGCCATGCCGGTGAAATCGTGTATCTATTGTTTCATTTTAAAAATAAAAAATTAAATTAATGTACATTGGTCATTACTAAGTATGTTTTTAGTCGCAGAAAAATAATTATTTCAAAAAAATTTATGATATGAACCTATACGGTTGTGACATCTAACGACAGGCGCACCAACCCTTGATAACTGTTTTCCAAAATGATCAACAACTGGAAAATTTTGACAGTCGCCGCCAAAATACGGCCAGCTGTGAGATTTTTAAAGATAATTAATAACGAAGCAGAAATAGAGAGCCGACAACCTAAATTGCATCCTATGATGGCTTTGTGGGAATCTGAAAAGTATAAATTTCTCGACATGTCAGTCGAGAATAAAAGGAACTTTTATGAATGCAAAACAAACTATTTCACTCTTGACGATGTCATCACTTGGAAGGACCATTTTAACCAAAACAGGGAAAGAATACATGATCTGACCCCCTTAGATTTAGATTTTGATATAGGTTTGATGAATGCAAGTCTTGATCAAAAATTGTGTAACAAGGTATCAGTGTGGCATGGGGACATCACGACACTTGAGGTAACATTTTTTACTCAATGCTTGATTAAGTCAAAAAAGCAAAAATATAATTTATTATTACCATTAGATTGATGCTATTGTTAATGCTGCTAATGAACGTTTGCTCGGAGGAGGTGGTGTCGATGGTGTTATTCACAGAGCTGCAGGCCCCAACTTAAAGGTACAACATAGTGCCTAGTTAATATTACATTTTTTATTAAAAATGTTTTCATTTGCAGATTGAATGCAGAACACTCAACGGCTGTCAAACTGGCAAAGCTAAAACGACTGGTGGCTATAAATTACCAGCAAAGTGTTAGTACTTTAAATATTTTATTCAAAAGTATTCGTCATATGCATAAGATGTTCCATATTTTTAAGACATGTTTTTTAGTATATTTGTATCATTTAAATGTGTGTTATTACTATTTCATTTATTACAGATATTATTCACACAGTGGGGCCAGTAGGAGAAAAACCAGACCTCTTAAAATCATGTTATAAAAGTTGTTTCGAAGAAATGCAAGCTAAGCAGTTACGTTCAATTGCATTCCCATGTATTTCTACTGGAATCTACCGATACCCTGATGTTGCTGCAGCTAGAATTGCCTGCAGATTGTCCAGAGAGTTTTTAGAAAAGAATGAGCAACTTGTTGATCGTATCATATTTTGTGTTTTCTTAGAAAAAGATCTTATAATCTATGAGAAGATGCTTCAGATCTACTTTCCGGTAAGGGGCCTTTAAAGATTTTGTTTTGAGTTGTGAAATGTTTGTTTTTATATGAATTTTATAGTTATAAATGTAATGGAAGGACTGTAATTAAGTTAGACTACAAATATATTTCTTTTGTACTTGTGTATATTAAAACTGCATTTTTTTATTTCACACAAGTGAAATAGGTATCTACGTACTCAATATGTACTTATCAATTGTGGATATATCAGTTGTGCTGAGTTTAGAAGATTCATATTCTAACATTTTTAACTAAAAATACTTTATTTAATGATAGGAGGATTTCTAATAATGGTACCTGGAGTAAAATTGTACATTGTAAGAATGATTTTGCTAAGGAAAATAGTAAAAGCACTTTCTTTATGGCTGTTAATCAGATATATTAATATTGGTATGTAGTCTAGTTGCTAAAAGAAATTAATATTGTGAAACATTAGTAATTTTCTATGAATCTGTACAAATAATGTTTCGAGCGTTTTCCAATTTCATTTCAAAAAGTGCGCCTTTGTGCAACACTTACAATTAATGCCGTCACATCACCTAAGCGCTATCTGCCATATTCCGGCAAAGTATGACGTCTGTTGCATAAGTACGAGAAAACGCGTACGTTCCCGATAGCAATACCCTCGTTCTGTCGAGGCCAGAGACCGATGATTCACAGACGCACGTCGGCACTTGCACCATCGATCCGAATGCGAACGAGGCGACAGCCGCCATTTTAAAAAGTTTTACTATGTGTGTGGTTTTAGCGTGAAGTAAATGGAGAATCTTTAATGAATTAAAGATAAATGGGTTATTACTATTTTGAAGGTTTTGGAGATTAATGTTCGGAGGTGTGGAAATGTTATTTGGATGTGAAAAAAGTGGTTTAAATAGTGCATTACGGTTATATATTGGGTGCATTGTATCTAGAGCTTGACAGGTAGGCTTTGGAATAATGTCAATTCTTTAAGATTCTGACTGAAATAATATTGTTTAATTTGTAAAGTGTATTTACTTTCATATCTAATTGCTAAATGTTGAAATAAATACTGTTAAAAGCCGCATACGTAAGAACGCCGATACGAGTAGTAAAACATTTTGGGCAGGTGCACCTTGTATAAACATAGAATAAATTTGAAATTGCAGCTCAAAATATCATCTTGGGGAAATAAATTCAATCATACTTAGTTTTTTATTTACTGGTACAAAAAAGACTCATGCAGACTAATTAAAAATAGCCTCAAATCAATGCAAAATGTAATAGAAATACTTATACAGATTTTCAATTTCTGTTAAATATTCAGTACATTTATTTTTTAGACATATTTGCTATTTATGCATAGTTTCCTAGTGCCACGGAATCATATATGTTAAATTTTACTTCCCTGTGTGATCTTTTTTGTATCCATATATTTTGAAGTGTGATTGTTTTGGTTGTTTAAAGTACTTATAATCTTTGTTTTGATATGTAAGTACCATACATCATTTAGATAAAGAATTACAAAAGCCCCGAGATTATTTTGTATGCTCTTGACTTTGTTACAGACGCTCAAAGTGAAAATTTACTTTTAACCAATTAACATATTTATTTATTATTATTTCGGCCTGTATTTCTGTGTACATAAACTATTATTATTATCATTCCAATACCCTATTTGTCTTTTATTATTCTGTTCAAAGTCGGCTCTGTCTGCGACCAGATCGATCCATGGTTAATGAACTTGCTTTTTCATGTATGAGATGTACAGCGTACCTGCCTTGTTCAATTTCTAACAAACCTAATAGTTGCAAGAACTTTGTAATAATCATACGTGGCTCGTATTGTAAGAAAATATCAATCAGTAGAAATTTAAGTAGTTTAAATGCGATTAGAGGAAGGGTTTTATTATGCGAAAGGTATATTTGTACCTGGAAAGGATTTTGGATAAGCTAAACTTGGGAATTGTGCAGGTTAAAAATTGTATGTTGCGGTAAAAAAGTATATATAAACTTTGAAGAGTTGCAGTAGTGTTTATTTTTAAGCACAAACTCGAGCAAATGTATTATTGAAAATAGTTTGTTTTTATTTATTTGTAGCATGAAATATTATTGCAAAAATCATGCTATCAATAATTTAGATTCTGATTTTTTTGACCAATTTTTGACTATTATTCTGTATTTTTCATGCCTGATTTGTGTCTTTGGTCTTTGTTTTTATGTGAATTTACAAACATCTATTTTACCATTTTTCAAAATATCATTCTAACAAAATTATTAGAAATTTCAAATTTTTTTTCATTTTTTTTTTTCAATTAACTTTTGATTATATTTACCAGTACTTTGATTTAATTACCAGTACTATAATTATTTTATTAATGCTGTGGTTTTCAATCTGTGGGGCCTGAGACTGTTGCAAAACGGTCGTCCAACTGTTTCCAAAATTCTAGGGAGATTTTCAAAAATAAACCAAAAATGTTGAAATGCTTAATAATAATATTTTTTATGTATATTTTTACATAATATTGTAAGATAATATTTATCCTGATAAGCAAATTATAATTGCAATTGAGCATTTATAAAATTAGATTGCTTGAAAGATTAAGGTAAAGAAGGCACAACACTTTTTTTAAATAAAACGCCAGACGCTGTAAGAAAAGTTTGGAAACCACTGTTTTAATTTGTTAATAATTATAGTAATAAAACATAATTTAGAAAGCAATTACTGACGAAGACAGGGTAATAAATTTCTGCCAAGATTTATCTGCTATTTATTGTTGTTTTTAACTTCTCTAATTTGAAACTTATTTTTACCAAAAAATCCATTTCGCCAGATATGCTTACTTCATTTTCTCGACGTTTCAAGTCATTCTGAATCGTATTTCAGGTCTCGTGTCGTTTTGTCCAAAAATCCTGAAACGATTTTGAAAATTCAAATCGATAGATATCAGGTGATTAGTTTTTTGGAAAAGATCAACCGAGTCGTTTCTTCGATTTTGACCAAATTTTGAGAGTTCATAGAGTTTGCGGTCTTAACGAACATACTGATATATTATGGACCTAGGGCATGTGGATTAATTTTAAAAAAGCATCAGAATTTGGAATAATGAGCAATAAAAATAAATTCGAAAACTATCAAATCTCAGTTCCTCTCATGTCGCTGAGATCTTCTGCCCAGTAGTTTCTTCGATTTTGATGAAAATTTGTGGGTTGATAGTTTGTGGTCTTAACGAACATACTAAAATATTATGAACCTAGGAACTATGGATTAATTTTAAAAAAGAATCAGAATTTGGAATAAGGAGCAATAACAACCCAAATTTTATTTTCAAAGACTGCCAAATCTCAGTGCTCCTTATGTCGCTTATTTGTGCATGTGGGAAGTAAATGCAACTTGCCCTAAGGTCAAAATGCCTAGTCTGCTAATATGTTTATATTAAAGAAATGTAATATAATTAAGATGGCAATTTAAGAAAGCAATTAAAGAAAGGGTTGATTTTCTTTTTAAGTTATTATTATTTTATGACAATTACAATTATTACGATTTTGATAGCATTTAGTGAATTCTTCTATTTCGAATCTATTCTACGAATCTACGATCAAAGTCTATTTTTTCCCAGTTTTATTTTAACCATCGCTAAATACTTCTGTCGAATTCTATTACCGAAACAATTAGCGATTTCACTCGAGGATACCACGCAAATATAACAAATACTGCGGTTTTATCGTTGTCCAAATAAACTGTTATGTGAAATAATAATATTGCAAATTTTTTGCCGTTTGTTTATTCATTAAATTTGGCTTATTTTTAGACAATGTTTGTAGATGTAATATCCAAGTTGTTATCTACATCCTAAATGGTCAGTTCATTTGTAGAATTATTGCAGACTGGAATTCTTTTGGTTTCTTAACGCCGGTAATTCAGTACTTGTGGTGTGTTGGAAGAATTTATTTGTAATTAATTAATTAAGACTGTATTGTGAATTTTTTCAGCAGAATTTTAGTTAGTGTTGGAATTGTTTATGTGAGTTTAATACAAATAAGTTTGAACATTAGGTATGGTATAATATAAAGATTTGATTTTATTCTTCTCGAAGGAGTTTCCCATTTTTCTTAAATGTTCAGTTTATTTTCTCACTTTAATTTAGATTTTATTTTGTATTTTTTATGTACTCTGATTGGTGTTTTTCCTAAAAAAAATTGACTTCTATTTAAATTGACGAACACCTTCATTTTTTCTCATTTTCACAATTTATCGTTCCTGATAAGTATATATTTTTGCGATTTTTAAATTAGTTTTTGAAAATTATTTTTAACATAGTTCATTTTTAATGCCAATTCTTCTAACAATAAATTGATTTTCATTAATTTTAGTAACATAAATAATTAGTAATGATTGGCAGAAGTGTTTATCAGATTTTGACACAGACAGGCCCAGCCATTTCGAAGATATGGAGCTAAATGTGCAAAAAATGGCAGTTTTTGAGAGAACTAAGCGTTCGATTTAAATGATTCAAAGAACTTTCCGCTTGTCTTACAAAATAATTGATTTTGAAAAAAAAATTGTCTCAACTTTATTTTCAATTTTTTGTATATCGAAAATAATTCAGATTTTACAACAATGTTACAATATTAATAATAATCTATTTGAAATAATAAAAAATTTGAAAATTCAGTATTCCTCGAACATTTCGTTACGGTACGGGAAGTTCCAGCAATTTGCCTTAAGACACGATGCCATACACCCAACTAGTTTCTTTCACAAATTGTTGTCCTAATAAGTCTTCATTTTTGAATTTCCAAATTTTTAAAACTTGGCCTACAATCTGCATTGGATACATTTGTTTTTTATATTGATGTTTTTATTTTGATAGGAAACGGATAATATTTCTTCACATTACATTTGTTTAAGGTCATGAGTCAACGATGCGTTAATTTATTTACGTGATACATTTATTGTTTATACTACATTGATTTATATATAAACTAAAAAACCTATATACGAAGGCTGATTGAATGTCAATTCGTTGATAATCACATCGAGGCCCCCTTAGAGGATAAAATGTTCCATTGGATATTTAATTAAAAAACCAAAAACATACTATTGAATTTTATCTGTACACTTTCCTTTCCCATGATACTTTTTTCCACATGTGATATTTTTTAATATTTGATTCCTATATCGCAGAGAATTTTTGCAAAGGTGACCCACATAAA